CGGGGCGGGCGTGCTGCAGAGCCACCCCCTGCTCCCCCTGCAGGCACAATAAGGTTTCCCTCGGTGTAGGGCCGCTTTCATTGTTTAGTGCTACAGCACAGCTCGCAGGTGCACCTGTCTGAGCCTCTGCTTTTGCCTTTTGCTCACCTGGGAGTTGCATGCATCAGGTTAGCAGCCTCTGCTGCAAGAGCTTCAGTCGCACAGGTCAGACTCACGTTTGGGTAATGTGAGCGGGGGTGACCAAGTCACTGATACCATCTTGCTCATAGTATTGGCCAATGTTCAGATTAGTGCTGACACAAACACTTTTTTGATTGTCTGGAAACAGCTAAGTCAACTTTCTCAAGTACTGAGTGTCATCAGTTTTTCTGAGTGCTGCTTTATTAAGTGGGGAATAAGCCAGCTCTGGGTGGGCAGCCAATATAAGGCATTGGGGTGCTTACTTAAGCTGCAAGTACTCCTAACAAAAACACATTGCTAAAAATATCCAGCAGTGTTGTGCAATGGGTAGGATGGTAACCAAAAGGGAGAGTACAATCATGCACTAATATTCTAACCTCCCTATAAAGTTCTTGGACTGCCTGTTTGCAGTGATGCCTATAACTGGGAGATTCTCAGTCAAGTTTTTTCTTAAAACCAAACTTAGCCACAGACCTGTGCCAAATAGGTGTTTTGTAGTTAGAGAAATTGTTATGTTTTTTTAAGTGTCACATTCTGACCTAATGATTGTATGAACTAGTGATGATGGTAGCCCTTTCTCCCTTTAGTACTGCAAGTTTCTTCTTGCTGTAGGAGTGTTCCTGGATTTTTTTCCCTCCTTCTAGTAAGCATGACTAAAGGGTGGTGTCTAGTAACATGGTTGCAATTTGGACATTGGTATGTTAAAACAAGGGTTACAAATACTTTAAGATTGCCAGTGTGTTTCTACTATGCTTTTCTTGCAGTATTTGTTTGCAGTCTATTTGCTATCAAACTAAGCTGAAAGGTGTTTTATGAAAATGATCATGCTTTGTGGGAAAGTTAAGACAGTTGGCTTTAGCCTTCTGTTTCCTAGTTCAGTATTTAACAGCTGTAACAACATTACTGTTTCAGAAAGGCACTGTTTTTAAAAATACAACTTTAGTTTACATGAAGTTCATGCACAGCGTTGTACACAAAGGCTAAGGTTTCCATAACTGCCTATAACAGTCCATGACCCAGTTAAAAATACATTCTAGCCACCATGCTCTTCTGCAGGCCACACAAGCGTGTGCAGCCACGTGGCAGTTTGGGGTTTGGTGGTTAAGTATAACTCGGTGCCCGTTATTCTGCTGTTTCCAACTATATTTTAGATATTGCTAAACATGCTGTGGAGTGTTGTATTTGCAACAACAACTAACAGGGACATAAATTCATTATATTCTGGTCTACACCAAGTTACACAAGATTCAAGAAATAAAACCTGCCTATTCTGTCACTAAACTAGCCTTAAGTATCAGAGCATCCTTCTTCCCTTTTTACAACCATGTCCTTCTGAAATGCCTCATCCTGTGGGCCAGGAAATTGATCTTGAAGAATGCAGAAGATATCGGTATGAGATAGAGGAGAGTAGTATTGTGTAAATACTTCTTTTTTTTGTGTGTGTACAAAGGGGAAGAAACACAAGCAATACTGTTACAACAACTACAGGAGTTAGCTGGACTAATGGTGAACCATTAGCCCAGCTAATCAGATTGTGTAAAAGCGAAGATTTTTTACTTTAAAACAGGGGCAGGGAAACAACCGAAAAATGTCAAAACCCCAACCATCAAAAATCCCACATCCCTGTAATGAATAACTTTTTCATGACTTGACTTTGGAACTTCACTAATACTTCTCTTCTACTCACTATAAATATCCTCCAGGAGCAGCATGACCCTCATGACACTTCGAGTATGGGAGCTGGAAAGTGAACTATCGTGTTTCTATTTGACTTCAATAGTGGGGAAAAAGCAGACTGTTAAATTGCTGCAGGTGGGCCCTAGGACTGTGTCTGGGCTACCATGAGCTCCTGGGGAAGCCTAAGAGGCCACAGGACTTTGGGGATTATCAGAAATGTTGCAGTTCAGATCCTCTTGTTCCCCTGTCCTGCTGGTGCCAGGCCTGGAGGGAGGATGGGTGGGAAATGCCCTTGAGCTGACTTCCACAGATTTTGCCCTGGGTAAATGCCTCCACAGCTGGGATCTTTGTTCCTGTTGTCTTACCCAGACTCAGCTGGCAAGAGCAAAGGTGATGGTTTAATTCCAGTGCATTTCAGTTGCAACACAATCAGCTTATGTTTCTAATGCTTTTTCTCATTGTTGTGGCACCAACCACCCCCTAGTCCCTTCCCTCCAAACAGAGCTGTAGAGCAAACACTGTCCTTCCAGGAAGGTCTGTGCTTCTCAGTGGAACTCAGCTCTGTTCTCTCAGCTGGTGCGCTCTACCCTGGCACATAGAGCGCACTATGGTCTCTGCTAGCTGCTGTCAAAGAAAAATCTTTGAAACTTTGATTGGCGCCAGTAAACAAATGCAATTGAGGGGAAGTTTCCAACTTTGTATTTTGTCACAGAAGCAATTAAAAACCTCAGATAAGGACTAGTGTATCAGACAGTTGTTCCGCGGAAGAATTACAAGTTACAAAGTGCAATATCACTGGAACTGAGATTAGAATAAACTAGTATAAACTATATGGATGTTAAAGGAATTTAGCTGCAGGGTATATCAGGAGTAGAAATCTGTTTCTGAATTCTTATTTTTAAATTGCAATCTGATTTTTCTGTGCCCCAAATCAGAAATTCGGGATCCAGAAACTCATTTCATATTAGCAGGCGTTTAGTAATTGTGGCAATACAAGAACTAGTTGAAGAATACTTTACTTGTCCTTCCAGTACACAGCCATCCCCAGTTTCCCATTTGTGTTTATAAAAAGGAGCAACCAAGTCACCTGCACACAGTTGTTAGAATTTCTGTGGTGGAAGTCCTAGGCATGATTCTCCTTGCAGTCCCCCAATGCAATATGCTGCAATTAGCGCCTTTAACAGTGCGGTGTTAACGATATTTCCAGCTAGGGGTGGCTGCTGAATGCCTGGCATACGCCTCCTGTGTAGTGGGTGTTCTTGCCTGTTCATTAAATGACAAGCGGCGAGTCCTTTCCACCAAAGCTCGTCAGCAGTCAGCACACATGGATGCAAAGCAGCCAAGTCTGATTTACCTTTTATTCCACTAGGTTCTTCAGCAGCATAAAAATGCTGACACAATGGTGGCTTTGATGAAGGTTTATGAAGAAGAAGATGAAGCTTATCAGGATTTGGTCACCATGGCAACACAATTCTACCAGTATTTACTGCAGCCCTTTAGAGATATGCGAGAACTGGCAACGCTTTACAAACTGGAAATCCTGGTAGGTCTGCCTTTACAAGGTGAAAGGCCAAGTTATATAGCAGGGCATCAGCTGCTCTTGGAGCAGTTTAGACTCAAATCACTTAACATTCCCTAGTTCTTGTCTTCACCTACTTTTTTTTCCCTGCCAAACCACCAAACATGACTGAGAAATTCAAAGTTAGGGCAGAATCACTCACAGTGGACCTCAGAGTCCATGGTATTGGCTTGAATAGAACTGCAGCTGTCTTCCCACTAGTGTCCTACTTCCCTCTGTGTTGTGGAATTCAAAGGAAAACGGCCCCAAGCTCCACCTGTCTGTGGCTTACTCTCTGAAGTAGCCTTTGTTGTGCCACCTTCAGTGGGATTAGTTTGTGACAGTGAGAATGTCATCCCCCAGCAATGCTGATGCACCGGATTAACTCAGTTGTGGAGGAGACCTTACCACACAAAGCAGTTTTGTATTGCTGCTACAGCCTGCTAGAAGTACAGATTAAAACATGTCAGTGGTACCTTCATTTAATTTTACGTGCATCTTAAACTGAAAGCACATACTGAAAGTTATGATGCCCCTGGAAAAGACAGCTATCTACTATTTTCATTTTTCCTTAAATAGTCTGTTAAAATTAAAGTGAGCTTTTGATGTTCTAGAAAAGAGCAGAGCAGTGCTCTGTTCAGTGCTTCACAGAGAATGCACTGCACAGTGCTCTCTAACAAAGGTTGTTGATACTGAAGGTTTAAATCTGTGAAGATGAAATAATCTAGTATGCTGTACGGAAAATTAAAGTTAAAATCTCTTATGTTTCTTTTCTATATCCCTGTTCCTGTGTGAAAGAACTGCCAAACTGGAGAACCTGACAATGCAATGTGCTGTCAACACGTGGGGAAAAATAGAAGAGAACATTGCATGTAGAAGAGTGCTTTTGAGTTACTTTTAGTAACAACTGAAAACACTTGTGTTGGACATGATTTTTAAGATGCTAGTTTAAAAATATTTTAAGAAATAAATTAATTCAAAGCTAAGCATAAAGTCATGGTTGGGGAACAAATGTTGGTTAGCCTGGAAAAGAAGAACAAGGCAATACACAGGCATGAGTAGTGATTCACTTTGTGTCAAGTGAGGGGAAGGTCATGTTTGCCAGCATGCTGTGCCTTGCTTGACATGTCCCTAAGTATAGCATAATGTGGGCTGCACCGCTGTGGTAACCAGCTGGCAACTGAGAATTTTGTCTCCTTGCAGAAATCTTTGCAGTATGACAATTTGGGGCCTAAAAGAGTAGCAGCTTTGCAGAAAGATGCTGAAGAATGGACTAAGCGAGCTGAGAATGCTGTGTGCTCCATTCAGGATATCACTGTGAACTACTTCAAGGAAACTGTAAAGGCTCTGGCGGGTAATCAGAATGATTTACACAAAAGGTTGTGTAAATACTTGACTTAGGCGACTGAGACCTCTTTTTATCACCTTTGCTGGTCTCTCTCTGCAGACCCTGAGGTTAGAATGAGTGTCTAGTTTAAGAAAGAAGCATTTTATTCACTTAAGGTTTATATCTTTTAACCAATTTGGTTTACAACTTGCATTTGGCTTGCACACAAACATTATCAAGGCCTGAGATTTCTGGCTGCAAACCTCTGAACAAAAACCATGCACACTTTTAATGCTTGATATGCAAGCTTCAAGGATTTTAGCTTGTTAACTGAGTAGATTGCTGTGTAACTGTTAAGACATGTTTCCATGGTACAACAAAATATTTTACTTACATATATAAAATCATAAGTTCAACCTTTTAGTTTTGTAATTTCTAAAGAAGCTTCAGAAATTGTTTAATAGCATCAGCATTTTTAGTACTGCAGCTGTAGTAGAAACCCACAAGGGCTATTAATACACTGCATTTCTTGGCTCTTATTCCAATATTTTAATCTGCAGCAATGCACAAACAAATGGAACAAGATCAGGAAAGATTTGGTAAAGCCACCTGGGCATCAGCTTTGCCACGACTAGAAAACCTGAAATGTGTGTTAGCTAAAGAAACCCTTCAGCATCTGAGGGCAAGAGAGTTGTGCCTGAAACAGAAGAGAGCTGGCATTCAGAAAAACGTAAGACCTTGAAAAGCCTCCTTTTCTGTCACTGTTTGGTGAAGGGCTGATCAAAACCTACCAAAGTGGTCGTGGGAGTAGACTTTCAAAGTCTTTGTCTATGAAACAGCTTAGGTTTTCAACATGGTTTTAAGTTGTGGTAAATTGCATGTCTTCAGTTTTTTTAAAATTGTGCCTGCACATATGAGGACACTTAGCAAAGGTTAAGATACAAGCTTTTACAGTTCAAGTGTCATGTTAGCATTTGTGGTACTAACCTTAAAAATTGCTAGTTTTAGGGAAATCAAGACCAGATATTATTTTCAGAGGATGCTGCAAAATAAAGATACTTATTTAATTTTAATCTTCTGATCTTCTGGATATGATGCCATCTAACTGCTGCTAGGAGTACCTGGTATTTATTTTCCAAGAGTACGGTACTGCACTATATATAATTGTTTTCAGGAGCAGTATTATTTGTGCAGATTATAATGAAGTCCTTTCTGGTAGACTTAAGGTAAAATTACACTTCAGGTTAATAAAGCTTTCTGCTCCGAGCCATTTCTAATGTTGTGTTGTTTCCCTACCAAAGCCTGTAAGCAGCTGCCAGTTAGGCCAGGCTTGTGTTTGTACAGGTATTTGTGCATCCATGCATGTTTCATGTGTGCATATTTTGTTATTAATGCTTTTTATTTTCTATTTGGGGCTGTACAGATGGAGAACCTCAGTGAACAAGAAGACAGCCTAAGTGTAGTGGAGGAGCTGGAAATACAGTACTATGAAACGCAGCTGGAATTATATAATATACAGCTTGAAGTACTGAAACATGAAGAGATGCTGCTTATTGTACAATTGGATACTTTAAGGAGACAGATTAAAGGTAAGAATAAACAAATATTTAAGCACATATCCAAAACACAGGAGTGATATAACCTGCTCTGTTTTCACTTGGAAAAAAAAAAGGATGATTATCACTACTCAGGTCTTGATAGTGGAAAGCATCATTGGAAAATGATGCTGTGGCATCATCTGATATTTTGTCTTCTGACTAATTAGACATTAATTTGATAACACAAGTTTTAAAAAAAACCCACGCTAGTAGCTCATCTTGACAGCAGCTGTGGTATGTGCATGCACTGGCTTAGCATATGGAATAACTTATATTGAAAATACTTAACTGCTCTTGTAGTTACAGGATCTATGCATAAAAACTGTGGATATCATGACCTGCTGAAATGGGTCCTGAATTTCAGGACACACAACACAGGACATACATCACAAATCTGTTGTAATTTAACATGTAGGAATTGCAACATCCTGTAGTGTCAAAAAGAGGTAATTTTAGCTAGATGGTACTTGAGTACTGCTATATTCCAGTCTAAGTGCCTCTTTGTAACATATTTATGACCAAATTAGGCACCAGTCTTGTTTATGCTTATTTGTGCTTATGAATTCTCTGTTACTGTGTACACTGTGAAGTAAACATTGCTCCTGCTTGTTGCATATTTAAAACCTGGTAAACAGTGAAATAAGTCACCCAGATCAGAACAGATGATCAGTGCTGATCAGAACAGTCTTCAGTTTTCCAGGAAAACTCCAGTCGGTGAATGTAGGAGTTAAAGCACAGAGAGACATTTGAAAGAGGAAGCTAAATAATAACAAATGTTAACAGCATAAATTTGATCCTGCAAAGCACCCCTGTGAGTAACATCACATGTTTGTGTAAGACTCTGAAGGACTAAGTTTGGCTCTGGAGCATTACATTTTCTAATCACTAACTCACTGCCTTCAGTGGCTTTTAAAATGTCATTAGTTCTTTAAATGTTTAAATATCTGTGGCAATTTTTGGGTTTTTAAAAAAATGCCAAATGCCTTTTTAGAGAAACAGGATGAAGTTGTTTACTATGATACATGTGAAAATCCTGAGGAGCTCAAGGTCATTGAACAGACAATGGGACAACATTACGCTAACTTGTCAGAAATGACGATGCTGAGGCAGAAGACTAAGCAGTTGGAGACAAAGCGTGGGACTATCTGTGCGAGGAGAGCCTACCTCAGGAACAAAAAAGTAAATGCAGTCCTGGAGATGTGCATTTTCTTTAGCTGATGTTTTGACTCATGAGGGATGGACAGGAAACAACTAGGGAAGCTTTGGGTGTAATGTACAAGATGATACATGACTCAGTGCCAAGGCTGCCAAACAGGAAGAGGGGCAATGTGATTTTAAGCCAGCTTTGCACTCCACTGTGTGGTGCAAGTGCCTCTCTAGTTTATTAAGGGAGCACAAACTTACATGGTGACCCAGGATGTGTTTCCCTATCAGCTAAATCTTACCAGGGGCTTGCTGTGGCCAGCTGGAGCTTTGCCCTGGCAGCCTTTTACAAAGCAGCTACAGTACAGGAGGAAACCTGGCCTGCAATGAGGGAAGCTGCAGTGACAGAACAACCCACACAATGATACTTTAACTTTGAACGGGAGGGAGGGGAAAATCTAACTGCTGCAATTCTCTCTCCAGCCTCTCGGTTCTGTGCAAAGGGCAGTTTTTTCCTTTGGTTCCCATTCAGAGCAGAACACTAGGAAGACACAAGTGAGATCCCAGTTGACTCTCATGAACCTTCCCAGTGAGCTGAGCTTGCCTTACACCTGCACAGTCCTGCTGGGGCAGAGAGCAGAGTTTAAGCTCAAGTCTGTCTGGCCTTTTACTCACTAGCCTGGACAAAATGGGAGTGAAATTGGAAATCTTTTGTGAGCCGTCATTGTCTCTTGCTTGCAACTGCTTCCTCGTCAGACACTTCTTTTGCTTCTGTTTTCATTCACTTAATTGCTGTCTGTTGGGTTTATAACACTAAAGCCAAATGCCAGATGATTTGGAAATGCTTACCCAGCCATGTGGCTAATCCCCCTCTGTACAGTGACAAATAGCGACTCCCAGAGAAAATATTGAAGCCTGCAGCTTCTCTGCAGCACTTTGTTACTAACAGAAGATACCTCTGTCAGCCATTCATTGTGTTTCGTATACCTTTGTTTCCCTGTACTTGGGACTACATAGCTCCTGTACTTGGGAGCTATGGCAACTTTGGAGCTATTATTTTTGTAATGCCCTGCTACCTTCCCTGTTGCCTTCTTCCTCATGTCTTTGTACCCCTTCCCTTGAGCTGGTACCTGGGTGAGATTTCTTCAGAGCTTGTTTCTGCCTTTTTTTTGTTGTTGTTCTCTTTTTTTTTTTAACCTAAATGTAAGGCAGAGGGATTGGTTTAGATGTGGGTATATTTCCTCTGCAGCATGAATAACCCTATCACTAATTAGGAGAACAAAAGATCCCATGTCTTTAGCCATGAAGGAATCCCACAGACTTCACCTTCAGGGTCTTGCATCTGCCACTGGTTGAGCTTAGCTGTCCTTCTTGGCACAGCCAAGCACTTGGCCTTGGTCACTGTTTAGTGGCTTTTACACAGGAGTTAATGGCACAGATAGTACACAGTAAATGTGAATTAACCAAGGGTTGCATGAATTTTGCTGTTCTACCAGGATCAATGTGAAGCAAGCCATCGGCAGAGACTGCAACAGGCAGAAGAGAGCAAAAAACGCTTCCAGCAGCATCACAGCATACAGATAGTGAGTACTGAATAGCAGCCTTGGAGAATCTGGCAGCTGTTTGTTTTCACACACTAATGCTCACTTACTTGTGCTTTAATGCAGAAGAGAGACAAGCAAAAAGAGGAGGAGAAAAAGAAAAAAGCTTGGATAAGCCAGGAACGTCAGAAAACACTGGAGAGGCTGAAAACATTCAGGGAGGCAAGTACTGTGAACTACAGTAGTCCTAAATGGTGTCAAAACAGCATTAGAAAGTAGCCAGAGCTCACGTGTGAGAACGGTCCAAATCAGAGACCACCATTTGGATAGTGTAAAATAGGATTGTGTGTAACGAGTCAAGAGCATTACATCCACTAAGGATATAGCTTCCAGATGTGGAACCTGTTGCGAAGAATACAAGTGAGGAAATGGCTTTGAAAGAAATACTTTGATATTAATTTAAATCTGTTCAGGGTTGAATTTTCTGTTTGAATGGGTGAGTGGGACAGGTCTGTACTCTGTGGCTTTTTGACCTTTGGGGTTGATGTTTTGGGCAGTCCAAGGAAGATGTGACCTCCTGCCTCATGATTTGTTTTTCAGAAGTGTCCAACTCATGTTGTTCTGAAAACATCTCGTCCCCAGCCTCTCAGTCCCAAGTTGCCACGAAGCGTCACTCAGCAGGTTGCGGTACTGTCCCCTCCACCTTCGTCAAGAGCAAGGGCAGCTCCAGAGCAGCCAAAGAGTATACTGCTAGTAGAAGCCAAAGAATCAAAAGCCTCACATCAGAACACCCCAGCAGATATCCCTGTCCAGACTCTTGTTACTGATGGTGCTGCAGAACAACAAAAGCACAGCGAGGGATTGATGGTCTCTCCATCTTCACCACCACTTCCTCCGCCCCCTCCTCCTTTGCCCCCTCCTCCCCCACCTTCCCCCTTACCTCTCCACTTAAAGACACCGTCAGCAACAGAGGATAAGCCACTTCCCTTGAGCTCCAATAGCCCCACAGAAAGCCCTGCGTTGCACAAACAGGATGACTCATCCAGGAGGTCTATAAATAATTACATAGGTAAGAAGGCTCACATCGACTAGTGTTTTTTCCTCTGTTTCCTATATTTTTCTGTTCACATGATTTGTGTATCCCATTTGATACACTTCACAGGCTCCTTATGCTCAGAGTGTGTGGCTTGGTGTTTTTTGGGAAGTGCTGTCAAATTATACAGGTCAGTCTTTTATGACATTGGAACTTGAATCTCAGTTGGAATCCTGCACTTGTTAAGTACAGCCTTACAATTAATTTAAACCATGCTTAATCACAGCACTACTACTTCTGTGGAGATCTTAATTCAGGACCTGCATTTCTCATAACACTGAAAATCCCACTGCTGTAATAGGTAGGAATGTGTCAGAAGAAATTCCAAAGAGAGGAGGTTTATTCATGTTGTTTGGTGAGAAGCAACTTTTATTACCAGATTTGTTCTTGCCACAATTTTGAAACTTCTGAACCGAATGTGGTATTTTGATTGAGAATTAATCACCTGTCCAGTCAGAAGACCTCTGTGGGTAAATTTGTGGTTGTACTGAGGCTACACTTCAGTGTTTATGATTTATGTACTATAGAGCTAGCAGTTGGGCTGCTTGCATTTCTAAGGTGTGCACAGCCTGTGTCCACTTACAATTTGCTTGGTTTCTAAATAAAGGTTTCTTAAGAGAATTCATGCAGAATTCAACCAGGATTTGAAAGGCAGATGGATAGCTTTGGCATACTAACATTCCTAGGGCAAAAATTCTGATGTTACACCTCTGCTTTCTTAGCAAGATCATGCAGGTGTAATTGAAGGCTGAACTTGGCAATTGAAACAGTAGTTTGAAAGAGAATAGAGCTCAGCAGTCTCTCAAGGCTGCACTGGTTACATCCTGCTAACAGGCTTATTTTTATCTTTAAAGCAAGCAGATATTTTGACTATGTCAGGGAGATCGATCTAAGTTTGAAAGCTGCAATTTTTTATTGTAATTTTTCACAGTGGAGCTTATGCTTGAATGAAGCATGTCTTTAAATGTGGTACATTCCTTTTCCTTTTCAGACTGTTCACAATACAAGCAGCCCTTGTATCCTCTCAGTTAAGAGGCAAGCCACAGGCAGAAATAGCTCAGCATTTTCAGTTCTTCCAAGTTGTGGGGAAGCACAAGCAGCTGAAGAGCTGAGATGCAGCTGAGTTACCGTGACAAACTAGTGTGCATCCAGTGGATGTGGATGAAGTGTGCGGACCTCAGTCTGGGAGGTCTGTGGGATAACTCTACCACAGATACACTTAAGCAGCTTTGATTAGCAACAGGAGTTGTACACCAGAGTAGTCTGACTGCTACTGATTAGCTACTAGCCTTGGTAGTAGCTAGTATTTACTACCATTCACAGCCTTACATTGATGTCCTTTCATTATTTTTGGAGAAGAAAAATCCTTTTTTGTTTATCAGAGAGACCTGATTGGTCGTTTACACCTGTTTCATGAAGACCAGCATGCTAATTGCTGCATTAGTAATAAATACAAAATACTGCCACAGGAACTTACTGAAACAGCTTCATAAACAGGTTGTTTTTAGTTACACATGGACTACTCATGTCTTTGTACATGAAAAGGCAGGAGAGGTTCATATTCTGGTGTTGAATATATTGTCTGTAATGTGTTAACATACTTTCCAAGGGGAACTTCTTTTATAATCTGTTAGTCTGACTAGTCTGTTACCACACAGCTCATTTGATTAATGGACTGAAGACTTTCTTACTTGAAGGCTTTGTATGACGGCTTGGTGGATCTTTGCTTGATCCTTTTCTGGCATGTCAGTCTCTGAAGGTACCACAGGATTTAGCAGAATGTTGTATTTCAAGTGCTTGATGTGAATCGCATAATCTTCTGTGCACTGCGCATGGCAAAAATACTTCTAGCTGTGAGGCACAGATGGTCTGAACCTATGGCTATAGGAGTTGACTGCTGTCCAGGTGAACTGCCTCGCTGTCTGACAGTCTGAAGCTAGCAACAAAGAATCCAGCAGAAGGAGTAAAACACGTTTTACAGTGTGTATCAAGAGAAGTAGCGGAAGCTCTCTCAGTATAGTGTCAGTTATGGTCTGAAGTTCAGAAACATATGCCTGAGATTTAAATCATGTTGTAAAATGGGAAATATTTTTTTAAGTCCATACAGAAAAGAGCTGCCTGCCTGCCTGCTTAGGGCCTGATCTGGCTCCCACTGACTTCAGTGGTGCAGTTTCAAGTCCTTCTACTCAAATCCTTTCATTTTTCTCTTGGCTGAGCAAAAATGCAATTGACAGTCTCAGCAGGCATCTGAGCAAGCTGGGAGGAATGGCAGATTGTTTCTAGTACAGAGTACAAGAGAATTTTTGGTTCAGTGAAATTTTTTTGAAAGCCCATAAAGTTGTAATGAAAAAGAAGCATCCTCCTTTGTGTATAGTTTCTTCTTTAGAGCACAACCTTGTACAATGTTGAAGAAGCATTGGATTCTCAATTCAGGATATAAAAGATTTAACCACTTTTTTAAAGCAGTTCCAGAGCCTGGTGTTGCAGAAGCTTGAAAGAGTCTGTGCCACAACAGACCCATCTTTTTCCTGTCTCTAGCAAAGATGAAAGGAAGAACCCTAAACACTTGGGTAGGGTTTTGTACCTCTGTAAGTGTAGTTGTCTTGTTCTTTCTTCTGATAACAATAGATTGATTTATCTGTTGCAGGTTCCATGGATGAGGTTTTGGCTTCTCTAAAACGCAGTGAAGTTCATCTTCGCAAAGTGGAACAGCAAAATCCATATGCCTCTGTAAAAGACAACATTCTCTCTGCCATAAGACAAGGAGTTAAACTAAGAAAAGTGAATCGAGATACTGAGAAAGATGTCAGTAAAGGATCCACTAATGAGCTGGAGAGAAGCATTAAGGCAGTCATCCAGAGAATTAAGAAAGTGTCTGCTGATTCTGAAGAAGAGGAGAACAATGATCAGAATAATGGAGAATGGGACAGCTAACCAATTCAGGCTAACAGGACTTACTGACTGGAACAATGTGTCTCATTTTGCATGTTGTAGAAGACTGTCCCTGTCAAAATGAAAGAACAGTGTGATTGTGTGTGCTCTCATAGTCCAAAATGTCTCATAAAGTAAAATAATCCTGCTGATTTTCTACAGGAGCTGCAAATTCTTATTTTTGCATGAGAAATCATACTCCAAATTATGCTTGCATTAGTGTAGGTACTTCTGGCTCAACCATGCAGAGTTTTCACCATATCTGAAGACAGCTAAAATGCTGGATTGAAACATACATTATTTAGGTTGTTACTACACAGTAGGTAATGCTTTCACAACAAAGTTTAAGGAGTGAAAAACTAACTGAAAATCTTATTTTTTCAGGTAAAAGTAGAATCAAATCCATGATGATAGAGGCAGACCAGAAAACTTAGCATAATCTGGAAGCCCCCATTCCTACCTCCATCGTCCAGAAAATTCTTTAACTTTTTGCTTGTCTAATACAGCTCACACTCAAATAACTACATGCATACTCCATTTATCTTTATGTCATAAAGTGTGCACTTATGAATGGGCTTGATAATGCTAATTGGGAAAATTAGCACCAAGTTTGAAATAAATGCTACTGTAGTAATTACTGAAAAGTTTACTTTTTAGCTGGAAGCTTAAATGTAGAGAATTTTTAGATGCTAAATGTTTTCCATACATCTACATTTACAATGAACTATTGCCATGAAAGAGCAAGCCAAAATATTGTATAGAATATTTTCTGGGATCCAGCCCTGTAATACAGAGCTGCATTTCTCCACTGAGAACGTCAATACATGTTTATAGCTACTCTCATGAATTTAAATTACCTGATAGCCTTATAAATGGCAGATCTTTGCTTTGTGTGTGGAACCTGACTATTTAAAAATTCAGCTACATTCAATTTAGAGACTGTTTCTATTTTGGGTAGATAGTGACAAAAATTATTCAAAGTTTCTTTCTTGGAGTTTATTACTGACCCCTAATAAAAATATATCCTGACAGAAGAAGTGGATTCAGTGTGCTGTCATTTTGGGCTACTGCTGTGAAGTAAGCATTACTTACACCATGGTACTCTGATTTTTGATAGTAAGTGTCAGCCATACAGCAACTGCACTCTT